AAGAAACACTAAATTTGCTGGAAGATAAGTTAGGCAGAATTCTCTAAGACATTGCCATAGGAAAAGACTTTATGAACAAATCCTCAGTAGCACGGGAACTAGCACAAAGAATCAGCAACTGGGATTTCATATTATTGAAAAGCTTCTCCACTGCAAGAGAAACCACCAAGAGAGGTAAGAGACAACCTACAATGTGGGAAAAAATTTTTAGCAGCTGTACCTGAGACAAAGGTCTACTATCTAGAATATATAAAGAACTTTAAAAAATTAGTCCCCTCAAATATAAAAACCGAATTCAAAAATGGGCATCTGAAATGAACAGACATTTCTCAGACAAAGAAGTAAAAGCAGCAAATAAAGATATGAAAAATGTTCAACATCACTGGTCATTAGAGAGATGCAGATGAAAACAACACTGAGATTCCACCTCACCCCAGAAAGAATGGCTGCTATCAAGAAATCAACCAATAACAAATGCTGGCGGGGTGTGGGGAGAAAGGAACCCTTCTCCATTGCTGGTGGGAGTACAGACTGGTGCAACCACTGTGGAAATCAATATGGAGATACCTAAATAAAAAACTAGGATTAGAGGTCCCATTTGACCCATCTATTCCCCTGCTGGGTATCTTCCCCAAAGAATTAAAAGCATCATACCACAGTGATATATGTGCACCCATGTTTATAGCGGCACAGTTTGTAATAGCTAAAGCTTGGAAATAGCCCAATTGCCCATCAACTGGAGACTGGATAAAGAAGATGTGGGTTTTTTTATAAAATGGAGTACTACTCAGCCATAAAGAACAAGAAACTAGAGACATTTATAGCTAAATGGATGCACATTGAGGCCATCCTCTTAAGTGAAATAAATAGGACACATGCGTAAATACCAAACAGTTTCTCTAGTGTGAGAAACTGAAAAGTATAAGTAAGGATCAAAATGTACAGCTGATAATGTGAAATAGGAAGAAAAGGTCTAAAGGAGTAGGGGAAGTGGGAAGGGAAGGGGAAAGGAAAGAAGGGAAAGGAAAAAATATGAGAAAAGGAAAAAATGGAAACAAAGTCTGTGTAAATAGGGAAGGGTGGTAGGGGTGAAGGGAGGGCAGGGAAAGGGGAAAAAAAATAAGAACCAAGATACGTCATGTACAGGTACTAATTCCCAATGATGACTGTAACTGTATTGTATACCTAAAATGTACCAATAAGCTTAATGGAAAAAAAAAGTGGAACTGTATCTGTAAAATAGTAGAGAAGCCCCACATTTTCAACAGTAAATGTAAAATAAATACTTTGGGGCCAAATGGTATCTCTTTGACTATGTAGTAGAAGATACTCTGCTTTACTCACAGATTAAACATGCCAGCCTCGTGTGACAGCTCCTGGACTTTAGAAGCCCTTTCTGTGTAAGGACGAACCGTGAACCGTCCCTATCAGCAGCATGTGGCGTAAAGGACTCATACTACTGGATGCCATCTCCCATCCAGAAGACTACTGCCAACGGCTCCGCTCCGTGTGGCTGGACAGAGGCAGGGTGTCAGAGCGGGGGAGTGCTACAGCATCAGCCCTCACTGTGGCATGTTCCCCAGGCCGGGCCACAGCACCAGCGTGACCGAGACAAATGCAGTGCAGGGCTCGTGGACAACACCAGGTCACCTGGAAAGCCCTGCTTTCCCCTCTTTGGGAACTCAGCAGCCAGGAAAGTCCAAGCTGCTATTACGGTCTCATCATCAGAAATATTGCTGGCTTGCTACACCTGTGTCCTGTGTGTTTCCACTCAATAAAAACTCCAAGACCAACACCAGTGCTGGAATCGCAGGGAATACGCTTTGAGCTGGGAGCCAGTGGGCGAGGGAAGGCTCCCTGCAAAGCCCTGCCCGATCCCTTGAGGCCCTGGGATAGAGGATGCTCTCGGAGGTCGAGACACTGCCCGCAGCACCGGCCTGCACAGCCCTGCTCCGCTGCCACTGTGCCATCTGTGGAGATGCGGTGGGCGGGCAGACGCCCCCTCCACTGCCTCTGGTCTCTTCTTGCTACCCTGTCACTGCCCAGGGCTATCCTCTGCCCGGGAAATCTCTGCCCCCTAGGGTAACCCCACCTGAGCATGTCTACCCTCTGGGGACTTCTGGGTACCATTCTCAAGGGGTGCTGGCCCTTCTGTCCCGCAGGCAGCAGGTTTTCCTCTCGTACTTCCCTGGCCCACTTCACCCACTAAACTGTCCGGATGGATGGCGTGAATACCAAGTGTACGGTGGAAGGCGGCGGCAGCCTCGGCCTAAGCTGAACTCTGCAGCCCACTGTCACCAGAGGGTCTGAAAGGGAGTCGGCTCCACCGCTGCCAACAAGCTGGACAAAATGTGGAACCAACACTGTACCAAGGGTGAGGGGCCATGAGGCTGCAGGCGAGGCAGAAACACCAGCTTCCAGATGGGGCCGATCTAACAGCCAGCAGTGATGGGGGGGCTCCCCACCCCAGTCCCCCCCCCAGTCCCCCCCCCTTTTTTTTGGTACCGGGGATTGAACTCAGGTCCTTATGCTTGCGAGGCAGGCAGCGGAACCACTGAGCTAAATCCCTGGCCCCCTCTTCCCCTTTTTCAGGATTTCCACCAGCGTGGGGAGACAGTGACTCCAGGGCACACAGCAGCCCAAGGCCTGAGAGCCCCCAGGGAGTGGGAGTAAGAGAGCATATTCTCAGAGTTCATTCCGCTTCACCCTGTGCAGATTCGCACAAAGGGTCGAAGATTTCTGTGGCTTGTGAGCCACTGAATCACGGCCCACAGGAAGAAATCCTGACTCTGGAGGTCAAGATGCAGAGAAAGATACTGAGGGTTCCACCAGGGAGGGACAGGAGGGTGGGGAGTTATTTTATCAAGGTTCAAGAAAAGAATGACAGAGCTGTTATTTTGGGGACTATGCCCTTCCTCAGTTTGGGTAAAAAAAAAAAATGGAGTTATCAAAAATCCTAAAGCTAAAGGAAATGCATAAAGATTTCTTTAACAATCACCTTTTTCAGACTCAGGGAGAAACAGGAGGCAAAATAGCATCCACTTTCAGCCGTGAAGCAGAATAGGGAACATTCAATGGGAGAAACTGAAAGGCTCACTGTTCAGGCTGGGGGCCAGGGGCACTTCCGCAGCAGAAAGGCCGTGACTTCCTCGGCCAGGACTGGAAAAGGGCCCAGCACCCTCAGAGGCCCCAGAACACAGGGGACTCCACAGCAGCACCCCCAAACACCTTCAGACAGGGGCAGGACGACAGTACCGGGGCCCCTCCTGCAGGCCTAGGGATGCAGATCCATGAGCAGACCTGAGGATGGAAATCCCCCTGCACCCAGCCACTCTCACAGACAGAGACAGCGCAGGCTGCAGGTGAGGCCTGCTCTCAGGGCACATGTCTGGGAACTCAACGCCTCCGTGTCCCTGAGTAGAGGAGAGACCAGAGGAGGGGAACTGCCAACAGCTTGGCCACCACCAGCCAGGCCCCACCCGATCAGCACTCAGCCACCCACCAGCTCTGCCTCCTCTCCCATTCGCTTTCTGTCTACACCCTGGGGGTTTGCTTGCTGTGTCTGGAATCACATCTGAAATACTCTGTGCTTTCTTACTACGAATGGTCCAGGTTGTCCAGGACTGAATGGGTTCTCCAGAAAGAGATTTTCAGTTTTAAAACTCGGACATGTTGGTCCCACTAACCAAGGTCACTGAGAAAGGAGCTGGCGTTTGGCACAACGCTTTGGAGAGATCTCCACTGTCAGTTTATAACCCAACAAAGGCGTTAAGAAGTGTTGAGGTTACTGGAGTCAGTCCTATCCCGTCGCTTGGTGATCTAGAAATGGTATATAAAGCTAATTAGAGGGTACCTCGCTGCTACACAGTCTACTTATCCAGGAAAGGAAGGTAAACATCCCCTGCTACGGCATGGGGTTCAGGACATGCACTTAGGGGAGATGTGGGCGTTCTGCTGCACCCTGTCATCTGGCTCAGGAGCTGCCCAGATGCAAAAAGGCTAAGGACACGGGACACCCAAATGCCACGCAGGATCCTGAACTGGATCCTAGACATTAGCAGGACAACTAGTGAAATTCCTGTCAAGCCTGCAGGTTACTTAACAGAACATATCAGGGTAAATTTTGGTTTCAGTCATGCACCATGGTTATATAAGACGTTACCCTTCGGGGAAGTCGGGGGAAGGGAATAAGGGCACTCAGTCCACTATGTTAGCAACTTTTTGAATAAATTGAATTATTTTAAAATCAAACATTCTAAATGCCCATTCTCAATTCCTTATTTTCCTCTTTCTAACATATATGCATAAAAACTCAGCTAACTAAAAATAGCAATTTTCAATTCACATTATGATACTAGACATTCAGAGCTGGTAGCTTTCAAAAAGAAAGCTCATGTATTTTACATCAGCGAAACTAGAGACAACTGAAATGTCCGATGATGAGGAATACGCTAATAAAGTACACTGGGGCTGTAATCTAAGCCCCCAACAAATATGAACAACTTGAGCAGCGCTGAATCCTACCCTCCAAACACAGCACTAGATAGACACACAGCTGAAACTCTATTTTGATACAAAACGAACCCATGTGATGAATGATTATGAAGTGCTTAAAATTGTTGAAGCCAGGCTAAGCCAGGCATAGCGGCGCACACCTGTAACCCCAGCACTCTGGTAGGCTGACGCAGAAGGATCAAAGTTTGAGCCCAACCTGGGCAACTCAGTGAGATGCGGTCTCAAAATGAAAAATGTAGAAAGGGCTGAGGACGCAGCTTAGTGCGAAGGCCAAAAAGCAAAAAGTTGTTTAAGAATTTTTTGTGATCACATAAAATCCTAAGTGAGAAAACGTTAAGTGGGATAGAAAGTAAGACAACAGAAGATAGACAGTAAGATAACACTAGAAAGTAAGATAACACCAGAAAGTAAAGTGATGCTACCCCAATTAAGTAATATGTAAATTTTCGTACAAATCTTAGGGAGAAATGCATCAAAATGCTCACAGAGGTGGTAAACTTGGGGAATATTTACGTTCTCGTCTTCACATGAGACCTTTTGTGTTCACCTTCCTGGACTTCCACACAGGAGGCCCGCTGGGTTTGTTCGGGGCTCACGCTCGGGGCGGCTCCGCGTCTGTTACCCACGGGGGCAGAGCCTCTCCGAGCCCGAACGTGCGGTCCGCACCGCGGGGACCCCACCCACCCCGCAGCCGCAAGCCCTCGGCGCCTGGCGGCCACGGCCACACGGGTGTGAGCCCCACGGACCGCAGCCCCTGCGGGCTGCGCGGCGTGATGCTCGCTGGTCCCGCGCACCCCGAGGCGGCCGCACCCGGTCGCAGGGCCGATCCACGTCAGGAGCCGCAGGCCGGGCGGGGCCACGCGGGGAGCCGGGACCACACCCGCACCAGGCTCCGCGAGCGTCGGGGTCGGGCCTGCCCACCCCCCACCCACTCACCGCCGCGGGCAGCTGTGTTCCGGCCGGCACGGAGCGTGGCACGGAGGCCGCGAGTGGACGTTCGGGCAGGGGCGGGGCCTCGCGGCGTCACGCCTGGGCGGGGCCTCGCGGCGGTCATACGGGGCGGGGCCGTGGTAGGCGGGGCCTTCCGCCGCGCAGTGGACCGGCCGTGACGGGCCAGGAGACCGGGGCGGGCCTGCGTGCGGCGAGGAGGAGCCAGCAGGGCGCGAGAGGCCCGGGCAGGTTCACGGCGCCCCTTTCCATCGCCCAAGGGCCTGGATCTGTCTCTGTGCCTCCAGTTGCGGCCGGGGCGACGCGGATTCCCTGCTGGTGACCCCCGTGCCCCTGGCCCCGGCCCCGCGGGCCTGACCCTCTCGGGGCCGCCTGTCCTTCCGCGCTGCGCTCTGGCTCCCCGCCAGGGCCGCCCCCCAGCCCCGCCTGCGCAGCTCAGGCCGGGCACACGGGCCCAGTCGCCGTCCGGCTCTAGGACAGTCCCCTCCTCGGCGGAAGCTTGCCACCTTGCTGACCAGGTCAGCGGGGCTGCTGCCACCTCGCCTTGCGGGCCCTGCGTGCGGATGTCCTCTGATCCTCAATGACTAGACCCTTGTTAATGGCACCCCTCTCTCAGGGCCCCCAGCTCACTGCCATCCTAAGAGTGACTTCATCTTTTGGTGTTCACCTGCCTGGACGTTGTAGAAGAAACAAATGGAAATGTGGAAAATCTCTCCTATTTCATCCCCACAGTAAACACAGACTTCTCTAAGTAGCACAGACTGCTGAACATCACAGATGGGGACTGAGTTAATGCCATGTGTCCCTGTGTCACCAGTCGGCTAGGATTCGTTTGCTCCTTGGTAGAAATGATGAGTAGCCGAAGTGTAGCTCTTTCTGGTGTTAGCAGCTGAGAGCTTTGAATGCCCGCCGCTGCAGCGGCCCTGGGGACTCCTCCGAGGACGCAGGGTGGCAGCCCCACTGCTCTCTGCAGCTCTCTGGCTACCACCTGCCTCCAGCGTCCCCAGGCCAGCCGCCTTTGGCGTTACCAGCAGGCTTCCAGCTCAGCCTGTTCTACTGGAGCTAGAGATAATTAATAGACAAAAGACGCTCCATCAGGACTCCCACTGCAGCAGATCCCTGGTGTGGTTATCGGGAGGTCCCTCACGTCAGAGAAGAGGCAGCGGCCCGCGCGTGGGGTGTCCGACTGTCACTTCATCATGGGGAAGGGGCTCCTGCAGGAGGACAGCTGCAGAGTAGTGGTGTGATGTAGTGGCGGCCAGTGGCAAGGCACGGGGGACAGCTGTGGGGAGAAAAACGAACAAAAAAGACCTTTGGGGGAGTGGCAGGCCCTTGTCTCCTGTCCCAACGATGTTACGTAGCCAGCCACTGCCAGGGTTCGGAATTTCCTTCTCCATCTCTCTCCTTTGGGGATTTTCTCCGCACTCTGGCCTGCAGGAGCCCCTTTCCGGTTCCTGCATCTGGAAGGGCAGACAGTCTCCAGGGGTTTGTGGTCCCTGTCTGGATATGCAGTGCTGACGTGACAGACTGGCCTGGGCAAGGAGCAAGAGCAGAAACCACCAGGCATTTCCAGCACTTTCTCCTGCTCCCTGGTCGTGCGGCTCTGGGATCTGATCCTCTCAGACTGTTTTCCAAGATGTCTGCTTGGCAGTGCCCATTTCAGTCTGCCCTCAGATCAAAGCTGTGTGACAGTGGAGGGGAAACCCCACAAGACTCACCGCCACTGCACTGCTCTTTCTTCACGTCTTGAGTTCCCTGTCCAGAGCACTGGCTCTCATGACCTTTCCAGCGTCCCTATGTTCCCAGGCTGGGGTCTTGTCCAGGTTCCTGATGTTCTAAACACACAACTGAGCAGGGCACCCAGGAGTAGATGTGGGAGCCGCCAGAAGAGCTCCCAGCTGAGGCTTGAGGCTGAGGGTTTGGGGTGAGATTGGTACAGGAAATGATATCGGCCCCGCAAATGACACAGGGGCAATGTTATAACTCTCAACCTGTTAGATGCCTGACGTGCTAAGCTCGTGTTTCCCCAAATCGAAGAATGAATCCTAAGAAACTGCAGAGGTTCAGGATAGAAAACATCTATTGAGGGAGAAGGATACAGCTCCTGAGAGGCAGGAGGGGGCCTGCAAGTGGGTTGTGGAGGACCCCACTTTGGGGGGGAAGTTTTATGGAGCACAGCCACATGGGAACAACGTGGGTTACAGCAATGATCAACCAATAAGATTGTAAGTACAGTCACGTAGATAACATTGATCCAATGGGGAAGCAAGTCACAGCAAGTGTACATGGAAGGGACAGAGAACTTTTCAGGAAGGGGTGGGTCCAAGGGCCTCGGTGACTCACCCAGGTGACTGCTGTCTCTAGACTTCATTAGACCGGGTGTTTCTGCTTATCTCTGGCCTGGCCATTTTGTCTCTATCTTGAGGCCTGACCTCCAACAGAAGCACCTCCAGTCACAGGTCAATGTGTTTTTACCTTTGTCCTGACTCCTTTCAGGGCCCAGCCCTGTCTGGCTGCCTAAAATATTTCTGCTACCTTAGCTGTCTATAATAAGATCAAGGTTTGCTCTGAGGTGTGGCTCCCACCTAAGACCACTTGGCTCAGCTCCTCCTCCGTAGGGCGGTGGAGGCCTTGACCTTCTGTGGCCCTGGGAGGATCTGTCATGGCGCCCATGGCCCACGGGGGTCAAATCTGCGTGGCCAGGGACCTGGTGATCAGAGCTGGGCGGGCGAGAGTGGCAGGCGCAGGCCCCGGACTCACTGTGCGTAAGCTGAGTCACCGGTCACCTGTCCCGCTGTGTTTAGACCCGGTGTCCCAGTCCTGGGCTAATGTCCAACCCCGAGGGTGGGTCCAGGGCAGAAAGTCTCCCAGGCAGGGCCTCTGGTCTTTCGTCTTTCCAGGCGTTTCCTTGGTTACCTGAGGCCTCAGATGGGCCCAGAGAGAGGCTCAAAGGCAGGCAGACCCTCCCCTCCTCCTCAGTCCTTTCCTTACCTCCTGCATTACCTGGGTCTTTGCTTTTGTGTTTTGTCTTAATCAGTGGGATATAAGCTCCAGTTTGGCCTACTGATTTTACACTTGATCTTAGCCAAAAGGCCAAGAAGCGATTGGCCTGCTGATTTTAAACGTCACCATTTTCATGTAGTAAATGTCTTTATTTATGAACTTTCTCTTTGTACCATTAATTTTGTAGTTTATTTGTCATAAGATTTAATTTTTCTCTTTTTAAAAATTGTCATGGCACCATAATACTGGTACATATTTATTGGTCATGGTAAAATAATGTGATACATATATACAATATGCAGTGTTCAAATCAGGATAATCAGCATTTTCGTCTCCTCAAGCAATTATCCTTTCTATGCACTGGGAAATTTTGAACTCTTATTTGCTGGTTATTTTGAAATAGCTCTGCAACTGTTGTGGGCTGCAGTTACCGACTGTGCTACAGAGCCTGGGCACTGGTTCTCCTCATCTGACGGCTTCAATCCCTGCTGTCGAACCTCGCTTTTTCTCCCCCCAGCTCCCTTTCTCATCTCCAGTGCAGCTCCATGCCAAGGACCTGAGTTCAACCCCCAGTACCACATGGAAAAGGATGTTCACAAGGAAATGAAATAATTCTACATCAGAAACGGCTGCTCTCCATGCTTATGCAGCGCTATTCACAACTGCCAAAATATAGACTCAACTAAGGTGTCTATCAGCAGGTTAAATGATAAAGAGAACAGGGTGTATATGCACCACGGAATATTACTGGGCCATAAAAAGTAGCGGAATCCTGTCATTTGCAGCAACGTGGACAGACCTGGAGAACATCATGTGAAATGAAATAAACCAAAAACAAAAGGCAAAAATTTATTTTCTCATTGATTTTTGGAAGCTTAAAATGTTGGCCTTATAAAAGATTTTAATTTTTAAAGTTCCATACAGATATTCTTTATTTAACAGCCTACCTGTTTAATGACTGTTCGGACTTACAACCAAGCCATGCTATTCGGATTTATGACCTGTCTTTTTTGTACGGTTCTGCACATCTTGTCTTTTTTGTACAGTGCACCTCATTTATACAATACTCTAATTTTGCTGACTGTGCCATGCAGCACTGTAGCTTTATGTTCCATTATGCATTACAGTGCTGCATGTAAGAGTTGTGGAAATAAAAGCAAAGTCATCAAGGTGGAACTTCCTTTGGCCATTTCTTTGTTCTGAATATTGTAAAGTGCATCCTACTTACAATTCCTCATTTAGCAACCAATTCAGTTAACAATCTAGTTGTGAGACTATAACTCGGTCGTTAAACGAGGAGTGTCTGTAATATATCAGGCTCTTTTGTTAAACTCTTGAGCACAATCGGAAAAGCCCAACGGTCGCCATAGTTTTGTCTCCCTCATTCCCACCCTAAGCGCCTATTGTAGCGGCCCCCCCAACCCCCTTCAGTAAACTCTTTATTCCAGGTGACCACAGTGGTCATCCATGTAGCTTTTCTCACTGTCTGGACTCACAGTATCCTCGTTGCCACAGCTAGCGAGGCTGCCATTGTCCCCAAACCTTGTCACCTCCTATCCCATCTCAAACTCCCAGCTCGAGGATCTGATCCCAACACTCAATACCTTAGTCAGGCTTTAGTGCAGAAAACAAATCACACATGCACACATCACACCAGAGGACTCCACAAAGAGAACTAAGTCCTTGCTGAATCCTGGGAAGGCTGGAGAAGACATTCAAGGTGGACATGCTGGAGCAGGTGGCACTGCTGGCCTGGCCCACCCCAGAGATGCTTCTGCTGAGGCCAGTGGAGCCCTGCAGGTCTGCAGCTGCAGCCTCTGCCTGGATTAGGGGAA